GAACCTGGTCACAGGGAGTAACTACTTAGGTCATAGCAGAAAGAAACAGCTACAGCACTTTTCACCCTGCGCTGATCCCTATGGCTAACCTTGTAGTAGGCAAGTCGTGAGGGACTCATCAGTGTGCTGCTGATCTGGGCTTTCAGGTCTGTCCACATCTGCTGGGTTTCATGCTTTAAAGCACCAGATGAGCTCGAATGTAGGCATTTGGCTGTTTACTGTCCCGTAGGAGCAATGGTCTTGCAGCCTTGACAACTGAGGGTTAGCCTCAGATTAGTCAATACCTTGCTGCTTCTATTCAACCTCAAGAAAGGCTTGCGATGTGAGCACAAAAGTGTTGTCTCTCTTCCCTGCCCACCCATCAGACGATCTAATGAAATGTATGACTCTTCCTTACAAACCTTGCCATTCTTAACTCTCTTGTGGTTGTGCAAAGAGAATTTCAAGGCCTAATTTCAAGACCTATGACTTAAAGCTGCGATATGAAATTACATTAACCTGTTCAATCAGACGGGTCCAGAAGTTCAGGTAAGATGAAGCAAGTCTGTAGTGTAGCTTACGTGATGCTTCCCAGGTAAAAACATAGCTTGATCCAGGCAATTACGCCATCTAGCCAAGAATAATCTTTTATGGAAAAAAGGTATACCTTTTTACCTACCCTAGGTCTACCCAGTAAATGTCATTTACCTATACCAGAGCATCCTTTTTTCCATGCCTTCCATTGCTTCAGTGATCAGCTTTCCAAAGCAACATCTGCAAGCTGTCAGCAGAATATACACATTATCTGAAACCTGAATGCGGGTGTTGCCACATGCGTGATTACTGACATCAACTGCTAAGAATAGTGTATTAGGTGGGGCTAAATAGCCATTCATTTGCAGACCAGTGCAGCTTTTGTCTTTTATGTTACGGAAAATATAAATATCAGCTCACCCAGGCTTGAGGAAGGAAGATCAATTCAAACATTTTTAGATTGTTTCTTTTTCAGGAGGCAGAACAAAACTCAGTCTGTGCTATTCGTATGCCTATACATGGTAAAAACAAGTGTGAGCCTAGGTTAATGAGTCTTGCAGCCTATCTTTTTCATGAAGCTGATTATAACGTCCTTAGATATTACAGCAGAATTCTGGGATGGTTCCTGTTTTATAAATTCATTCATGCTAGAGGTATCAAACAGAAAAATTAAAAGATAATATGGTGGGGAAAAAATAAGGATGGAAAACATGTTCATGGGAGGTATGAGGACTGTTTCTAAATGTGATCTATTAAAAAGATATGCTAGGTGTGATAGATGGGATGAAGTTGCAAAATATCTTGGATATAGAGATAAGAATGTTATCTTATTTAAAATGTTGATGAGGCCTTATAAAAAGCAGTACTGCAGAAATATTTGACCTTGGTATGCAGTCAAGGTATTACAGCTTGTTAACCGACTGATAAACTGCTCAGGAATTTGGTTGACCTGTTCTAAAAATGTGGTCATCCAAGCATGTAAAACAAAGGGCAGAAGGGAGCGTAGTTCCTGATGTTCTTGGAAACATTGGATTTCACTAAAGAATAGATGCAGCAGAAACGTGTCCTTGTGCAAGGAGTTTCTCTCTTTTGAAAGGCTCAGCATAGGGAAGATGTTTGAATGCAGCCTCTTATCATTCAGTACCGTAGTTTATCAGTACAGCCTCTGTCACTGCATGTCTTGCTTGCTGTTGTCACTGCTGAAGAATTGCTGGTCTTCCTGCAAGTCACCGTTGACGTTGCGGTGCTGAATGCTTTGAAAGCTGTTAGGCCCACCAGAAGCACTGACATAGGTCAGCCTGGCCACCTGCGTTTACTGTTTATGCATTTGTCCCTCAATAGAGCACTACGGAAAGCCAGCTGGTTTTCGTATGTGTGCAGAATGAACATCTGATTCACAGGCATCCACATGAAAAGCTCTCTTGCTTTTTGAGGGACTTGCATCCAAACTCCTGTTAAAATCTATGACTTGTCAGATACACAAAACACTGGCAGGGAATCACAGAGTAACTTGGGCTGAAAGGGACTCGGGAGGTCGCTCATCTAGTTCAGTCTCCCACTCATGGCACGGGCAGCAGTGAGACTAGACCAGGCTTTTCGGGGCTTTCTGCAGTCATGTCTTGAAAATTACTGATCCTAACAAAACATCCAGCAATGTCAGCATTCTTTCTGCTAGGCTGGGTTTATCGAGAAGCTGAAATGCAGATGAAGCAATATATAGGGTGTGATAATGGTTAGTTTGGTTGTGTTTCGTAGTGTACTGGCTCATTGATTTATTTCTTTATTTGTTCCATTATGTGACATGGTCATGATAGCACAGGTGAGCTGCAT